CTGCCGCCGCTGCTGCGGCCGCGCTCGCGGCGGCTGGGGCGCGCGCTCGCGTGCCTGACCCCCGCTGCCCGCGAAGCGGGCGGCGTGCAAGATGTGTCCAGTCACAACCCACAAAAAGACGGCGCGGGCGCCGGCGCGGGCGCCGGCGCCGGCGGCGCTGCGGCGGCCGCCAAGCTGTTTGCCGCGCTGGCGCGTGTGGCTGACTTTTCACACCAGGAGGATCACGGCTACCCAGACCTGGCGGCAGCCGCCAAGGCCCACGTGGAGCTAGACAGGGCGCTGGCAGCCGAAGAGGCGGGCTACGCGTGGCGGCTGGCGCGGCTGCCGCAGGCCGAGCTGACCGCGAAGAATGACGTCATAGTGGGCTGGCCGCGGTGCGATGACGGGAGTCAGCAGCAGGATGAAGTAGGCAAGTGACGCGTCACAGCTATCATGCTGCATTCATCGCCGCCTCTCTGCTCTCTCCAACTCTGTGGCCTACATGAGCTTGAATGAGCATCACCAGTCTCAAACACTTGACTTTGTGTACCTTGGGTGTGGTTCAGCGCTGGTGTGTGGCCCCATTTTTCTGTGTGTGTGTGGTGCTACTTGCTACAAACTACTCCTCAATCTCGTTGAACAAAGATACAAAAGATTTACATGCAGCATAACGCTGGTGACTTGAGGCAATATATCAACCTTCCCAAGTTGCAATTCACAGGAATATCGGCTCACAACAGCAAATCCTTCTCATTGCCACTGAAGCACCAAAGTCACAGCACATGCGACAGCCACAAAATGCACAAACGACGCACAACGCTCAACACTCTGAAAAGCGCATCACCCACGTTCCAACCACCAACGGTGAGCGGTCAAGCCTGAGCGCGGTCAGGCACCCGGGTGCCCAGCGTGCTCGCCCTTGTTGGGTGGTCACAGCAGCGACTTTGTGCCGGACGACCCCCAGTGCAGGCGTGGCTGTGTCTTGTCAATGTGGGCCTGCCAGTCGGCGCGCTTCTCCTTGTAGTTGAACATGGGGACAGACATGGTGCCGTCCGGGTTGTCAAACACGGGCTCCAGGGGAACGTCGCAGGCCTGAGCGCACGCGTGTGTGTACGTGTGTGTGTGTTTGCGTGTGTGTGTGTGTGTGTGTGTGTGTGTGTGTGTGTGTGCGCGTGCGCGCGCGCGCGCGTTCACACCTTTGCTGCGTGAGTGCGTGCGTGCGTGAAGATGCATAACAGGGGGCGTGCCGCTGTTCGCTGATATCTGTGCCACATTTTGGTCTGGATTCATTGCGTGTGCGGCGCGCCAAACTCTAGCGGTTGCGGAGTAGCGCCAGCAGGCCGCAGCTCTGCTCCTCCGCCACGGCCGCCTGAACACGACTCGCGGCCTGGGCCCACCATGGCGCGTATGAGCATCTCTGGGTCGTTTTCCAAGACCTCAATTGGGTCCTGGGCACTGAAGTACCACCTTCAAAGCACATATGAGTCAGGAGGCAGCCGGGATGAAGGAAGGGTGGTTGGTTGGTCTCTGACAGGGATGCTGACACAAAAATACCGCCCAGAGCGTGCAAGGGGCCAGCATGGGCCAGGGAGCGTGCAAGAAAATGAGGGCTCCCAGCCCCAATGGTAGGCGGTACGTTTCTCTGTAGTTGCAGCCGAATTACTGATACTGATTGACCGCGTGCAAATGAGCAGCCCCACTATCAAGGCGCAACTAGGAGGGCGCGGATGGCTGAGGGCAGTGCAGCAGACCCTCCCCTTGCAGTAATTGCGTGCGGCCAAAGCGTGAAGGGCAGAGCGTCTGTAAAGAGGCGGTCTCACTTGTCCACCGTGATGAGGACTGACACCAGGGTGCGCGGCTCCAGCAGCAGCGGCAGCGCCGTCACCAGCGCGTCGCGGTCGCGCGCCCGCTCCAGCAGACGGTGGACCTTTGAGTGGGTTTTTGCGTGTGTGTGTGTGTGTGTGTGTGTGTGTGTGTGTGTGCGTGCGTGCGTGTGTGTGTGTGTGTGTGCATGCATGCATGCATGTGCTTGTGCGCGCGTGTGTGTGCATGAAAGGGAAGGGTGCGCGTATGTGGGTGCATGCATGCATGCATGCATGCGTGTGTGCGTGTGTGCATGTGTGCACGTGCGAGTGCGTGTGGGCGTGTGTAAGCTGTGTTTGCGCCTACAATGCACGCGTGCAGCTGGCGCTCCTGGTACCGGTTTGTCGGGTTCGGTTCAGCAGGGGCTCTGGTGGTTGTCGTGGGGTGCCTCAGCGCACCTGGCGGCCGTTCTCCTCCAGTGTCGACACGTCCTGCAGCAGCATGGCTGCATGAGGGAAGGGCATCCCGGTCGCAGGAGCGTGTTCAAGGTAGGGGCGCACATGCGGGTGTGCGCTCTTCTCTCATGCGTGGGCCCACGCATGTACAACGGCAGCATATGTTCGTGCAAACAGATGTAAGCAAGCGCGCACGCCCCAGCACGCGCGCACGCGCGCCACACGCCCACGCACACACGCACACATACACGTCCAAGCGTACCCAGTTGCTCGCAGGCATGCAGGCACACACGTGCAGGCGCACGTAGAACTTCCAGCCCGCTCACCTGGCCGCTCCATCAAGATTTTTGACAGGTTGGCCCCTGGGAACAGCGCCTTGAGCGTCACCAGCTTCACCGCAGCTGCCGCAGGGTCCGCCACCAGCTTTAGCTGCACGCCAGTGCGCGGGACACGGAGCGCATGCATGGTGCGCGTGGGTGGGGCGAGTGGGGTCGGGTGTGCTGCACGCCTGCACCAGAGAGGTCGTGGGAAGCCGCCACAAACTGACCCGTCAGACAGCGTTTTGCTCTCCTGCTGACCTGCGACGACGCTGCTGCCCTGAGCCAGCAGCACGCTGTATCTTGCTTGCTTCCTGCGTGACGCACGCCCTCCCCGCCGACCCTTGTATCTCGAAGCCCGAAAAGCGGCCGTCGAGCAAGCTGTGCAGGCGCAACCGCCACTCGCGCGGCCGCCGCGCTGAGTTCGCGCCACAGCTGCGGACCACCGCAACCCTCAACGCCTTCGCCACGTCGCGCCGCGTTGCAAACGCACCCAGTCAGCGTCCCGCATCGCCTCGCTGCTAATCTGAAACCCGGGGATGAGGCCTTCCAAGAGGTCGATGCCCGACACGATCAACGCGTGCGGCAGCGGCAGCTTCTGCTTGCGCGCCGCCTGTGTCCAAGGTGAAAGTTTGGGTGCCCGGTGAAAGGGATGCGGGCTTTACCTATTGACCGCGGCAGGGGCGCGCCTGCGCCCTGGACGGACCGCCCCGTTCTTCAGTTCTGTCACAAAGCCGCGCTCGCGCCCGTGACGCCTGAGAAGTCTGATTGCTGTTTGCGAACCGCGCGGCGCGCCCGCCGCACCACTGCCAAGTCTTCGGCAAGCCGCTGCTTGCGCTTGGCCTCCCAATCAATCGGCGCCCGGTCGGCAGGAGAGGCGCGGACGGTGGCGGCAGCAGCATTTTTGCGGCGCCATGTTGCTGTGCGGGGTGCTCTCAAGCCGCAAGAGCCTGCAGCTGCCGCTGGACAGGTGGCATGTGATATATGCCATGTTGCAGAACGATTGTGCCAGCACAAGCTCGACTGCATTGTGGTCTACGCAGCTGATGTGGATGTCGCTGTCACCTAGTCCATCCCACTGTTTCTTTCTGCACGCATGCGCAATCTATCACATTGATTGTATACGTTCAATTCAAACTATTGTGCAGCAGCGTCACCGCTCAGATCTACAGTCACATCGCACACCAACCAGCCACGATGCAGAAGGCAGCTGTGGCCCGTCATTCATCTTGCAGAATTCCCATAGGAACCTCCAGGGCTACTTCCGCGACGCCACGGAGACACTCTGCTGTGTGCGTGCACGCTCGCAGCGGCAGCAGCGCTGGCGACGAGCCGTCCACGAGCAGCAGCAGCAGCAGCACCAGCAGCAGCCTCCGTTCGGGCAGACGGGCGGCTCTACTTGCTGCGGCCGGATGGCTCGCCGGGGCCAGCGCCACCCGCGTGCTGGCTGAAGAGTTCCTGGACGACTCCCTGGCTTCCCAGCTGCCCGGCGGTGCCCCGGCGGCGCCCGAGCTGCCCAGGGGTGAGCCCCGCACTGCGCTGCGGCGGCCTGCACCGCTAATCGCCTCAAAAACAATCCATGCTCTTGAGCGCGGGGAGATACGCTCGCCCCCCTTCAGTCATTTGGTACCTCCCAAGAGGCTGCGTCGCAGAAAGCCATAAATGCCAATATGCCGTCGTCAACCAATGTGGGCCGCGCGTGCCGCCATGTGCCGCGCAGCTTACAGCCAGACCGTGAAGCAGCTGGTCAAGGCGCTGCGGGAGGCGATAGAAGCGGAGGCGGGCGGCGCGAAGGAGCTGGAGGTGAAGCATTCATGCATCACGGGTTATGCTGCAGCGTGCGAGCACGCTGGAAAGTGCAGGCAGGGGGGCGTTGACCGGCAGGACGCGTAGCCCTCCCTTGGATGGCTACACACCACACCCGACCATCCTCGGCGGTTTCACACCACGCCGCCGCTCTCCCATGGGGCGCGGATGCGGTGTGCACCATGCACTCCCTTGACCCTTGATTACCAACCGGGGCCCCCACACGCGCTCGGTCTTTTCCAAAGGTGCGCCGCAAGGCCGACCCCGCCAAGGACTTGGCCAAGCAGTTCATGCGGCGGTGGCAAGACAACCCAGACGTCGCAGGAGACCCCACCCACGACGAAATGCGCAGTGAGTGCAGGGCAATCCCAAGGCAACGGCCTCGCCTTGGAACTATCAAGCCAGGAATCCAGGGCGTGCGCGGTGCCACCCGGCTGTGCCCTGATCC